GCCGCTGCGGGAGCCCTGCGGGTCGCACTGGCAGGCTGTGGAGGCGGGAGCGCCGTGGAGCGGGGCCGCCCCGCTGCCCGCACGGGCACAGCCCCGTCGGACCCACTGCTCTGGGGACCCCTGCCCCTTGCAATGGGCAGAGCTCCATCCGGACCCATTGCAATGGGTACAGCCCCATCCTGACCCACTGCACTGGGGACCCCTGCCCCTTGCAATGGGCAGAGCTCCATCCGGACCCATTGCAATGGGTACAGCCCCATCCTGACCCACTGCTCTGGGGACCCCTGCCCCTTGCAATGGGCAGAGCTCCATCCAGACCCATTGCAATGGGTACAGCCCCAACCCAACTCACTGCACCAGGGACTGCTGCCCCCCGCCTGTGGCACAGCCCCATCCCACCCACTGCAGTGGGCACAGCCCCATCCTGACCCATTGCACTGGGTACCCCAACCGTCCCGCAAGGGGCACGGCCCCATCCTGCCCCTCTGCACCCCACCGTGCCCCACGGTAGCGGGTGCAACCCCACGTCCCCACGCAGCCCCCGCGCGGCCGCACTCACGCAGGGCGCCGTCGTGCAGCAGTGCCGAGACGCTGCAGACGAGGCGGGCGCAGGCCTGCGCCAGGGCGGGCAGGGGCACCATGCGGAAGGCCTCGAGGCAGCGGTAGCGCTCGAGCTCGTGGCGGCGCCGCGCGGCGGCCTCCCCGGCGCCCGCCAGCCCCGGCAGCTCCGGCACGCGCGGCAGCAGCGCCAGCTGCGCGGCACAGCGGGCGCTGGCGGGCGGCACGGCCCTGCCGCGCTCCCCAGCCCCATCCGCATCCCCAGCTCCAATGATGTTCCCATCGGCAACCCGGATGCACTCACATCCCCACTGACAACCCCGTGCCCATCGATAACCCCGGTTAGTATCCCCAGCCCCATCACTATCCCCATCGATGGCCCTAGCGCCAGCCCTTCAAGGTCCCCACTGTCCCTCATCCCGATGGGGGACATGAATCCCCCATCCCCACGGAGTGTCCCGATCCCTGATGAGTCCCGATCCCCACGGACGCCTCCCTGCCCGTCCCCAGCCCCAGCGCAGCTCCAGTCTGGAGCAGTCTGGGGTCCCTGCCCGCCCGGTGCTTGTTCTTCACCCCATCCACACGAGCGCCCGGCGTGGGGCACAGGGTCCCCTCACCGAGTCGATGAGGATGAAGGCGCCGGGGTGGCGCTGGGCGACGCCGGCGCGCTGCAGCCGCACGGCCACCTCGTACGGGGTGCTGGGCTCGAAGCAGAAGGGCCGGGAGAGCAGCACGTACCTGCGCAGGGGCCGGTGCCAGCACGGGGGGAGCCGTCACACGTCTCTGTGCAGCGGGACCGGGCCACCTCCCTCTGTCCTCATCCCCATCTCGTCCCCATCCCTCACCTTGGTGTGCACAGGACTGACCCCCTTCCCACGCTGGCCCCAGGGCCACCACCGTCCCTGCCCAGCACTGCTGGCTGGGTGGCTGGGCTCTTCCTGTCCCCAGCCCCATCTCCATTCCCAGCCCCATCCTTCACCTTGGAGAGGTATGGTAGGTCTGTCCTCGTCCGCATCCCCATCCCATCTCCATCCACATCCCCATCTCCACCATCGCTATTCTATCCCCACCCCATCCTATCTCCAACCCCATCCCCATCTCATTCCCATCCCTATCCCCATGCCACCCCCATCCCCAACCCCTCCCCACTTCCAACCTGTCCCCATGCCCAATCCATCCCCAGCCCCAACCCATCCCATGCCCATCCCCAATGCGTCCCCATCCCTAACCCATCCCTACCTCCAACATCTTCCCATCCCCAATCTGTTCCCACCTCCAACCTGTCCCCATGCCCAATCCATCCCTGGCGCCAACCCATCCCATCCCACCCCCATCCCTAACCAGTCCCCATTCCCACCTCCAACATCTTCCCATCCCCAACCCATTCCCATCTCCAACCCATCCCCATCTCCAACCCATCCCCATCCCCATCCCATCCCCACTCCCATCCCATTCCCATCCCCATGCCGCCCCATCCCGCCGCTATCCCTCACCTCTGCGTGTGGGGCAGGCTTTCCCGGTAGAGCTGCTCGGAGGGCAGCAGGTTCCCGCAGCGCGGGCTGGTGGGCAGCGCCCGGGAGCTGACGCTGACCACGGCCTCCCAGTCCTCGGCCGACTGCGGCGAGAGGCGGCGGGGCGGTCGGGGACCCCCCGGCGCAGGCAGGCGCCGGCGCCCGGGGCCGCGCTCACCTCGGGCTCATAGCGCAGCAGGATCTCGTACTCCATGGGGTAGGGCACGTTGTCCATGCGGAAGGTGAGGCCAGCGCCGTCGCGCACGCGGGCGAAGCCCGGCCCCGTCCACGTCACCATGCGCCCGGCTCCGTCCCGCGCCACCTCCTCCACGTCGGGCTGCGAAACGGGGCCGGATAGGGCTGAGCCGAACCCGGCGCGACCCGGCCGCTCGCCGGCCCCATGCCCTGCCCCGCGGGTACCTTGGGGGGCTGCTGGCGGCCGCGGCGGGACGGGGCGCGCGGGGGGCTGCGCCGGTGCCGCGCGCGCCCCTTGCGCCCGCCGGGCTCCCCGTTGTAGAACTGCGGGCAGTCGGGCGGCGCCTCGGGCCGCGCGGCGCCCTGCGGGACGGAGCCGCTGCGGGATGCAGCCGCGCGCGGGGCCGCAGCCCGGCCCCGGGGGGCAGCGGCGCCGCTGAAGGGCGCTGCGTGCCGAGGGGCTCACCGGGAGCTGCGGGTGGCCAGGCCCGTGGCCAGTGGCCTCTTCGGCCTCGTACGTGTAGTAGTCGAGGGGGGCGCAGAAGAAGCCGGGCTCCACCTGGTCGCACTGCCGCCCCATGAGGTGCGGACGGCACGGGCAGGCGCCGTCCTCCATGGAGCACCTGGGGCAGCCAGCCCTCCATCCATCCATCCATCCATCCATCCATCCCTCCCTCCCTCCCTCCCTCCCTCCCTCCCTCCATCCTTCCATCCCTCCATCCTTCCATCCATCCATCCGTATATCCATCCATCCGTATATCCATCCATCCGTATATCCATCCATCCATCCCTCCCCCTCTCCATCCTTTCATCCATCCATCCATCCATCAATCCATCCATCCATCCATCCATCCATTCCATCCCAGCCTATCCAGCCGCCCCCTAGGCCCATCCCCTCCCTCCTTCCCCATGCCCATCCCTCCATCCCTACCACAATCCTCCCTCCCTGTTCCCATCCCTCCCTCGCTACCCCTCCCTCGCTGCCCCATCCCTCCATCCCTTCCCTATCCTTCCATCCTTGTCCCATCCCTCCCTCCCTGTCCCATCCCTGCACCCTTGCCCCATCCCACCCTGTCCCCATCCATCCCAGCCCTTCCTTCCTCCCCATCCGTGTCCCCCCACCGCAGCCACCCATGCCTGTCCCCATCCGTCCCCCATTCCCCCCCGCCAGCCCTGTCCCCGTCCCGTCCCAGGAGGGGACAAGGGGCGCCGGGGACCCCACCGGTTGCTGTAGGCTCCCCCGAAGTCGCAGGCGCAGGGCCGGCAGCCGCCCACGTCGTAGCTCAGGCCCCAGAACTCGGGCTGCAGCGAGACGGGGAGCCGCCGTGGGGAGGGCGTGTGGGGCAGCGCTGTGGGGCTGGCGCAGGCGGGCCCCGCCGTGGGGCCGGGGCACTCACCACGCACTGGCTGCAGGAGCGCCCGGCCACGAAGCGCTTGCAGTAGCAGTCGCCGCTGATGGGGTCGCAGGGGGAGCTGCCCGCCACGGTGCCCCGCGGGTCGCAGCGGCACGCTGACCACGCACACGTGGGGCTGGCACCGCCGCGGCCCCTGCCCGCCCCACGGCCCGGGCCCCCATCCCTCCGTCCCTTCATTCCCCAGGCATCCATCCCATCCCCTCCATCCCACCCTTTCATCACAATCCCTCCATCCCATCCCTTCATCCCACATTCCCCTCATCCTATTCCTTCATCCCACATTTCTCCATCTCCATCCCACATCCTTCCATCCCATCCTTCCATCCCACACTCCTCCATTCCCATCCCTCCATCCCCATCCCTCATCCCAATCCTCATCCTATTCCTCCATCCCACACCCCTCCCTCTCCATCCCACATCCCTCCATCCCATCCTTCCATCCCAATCCTCATCCCATCCTTCCATCCCACACTCCTCCATCCCCATCCCTCCA